AATAGCCAAAAAGGCAATTATTTTACACAATTTTGGGGTTCCGGTAGACCTTAAAACCGTAGAACCTAAACCCTTAAACCCTACCTGGATACAGGCCTGCAGGTATTGTCACTGCGTGTACCTGCAGTTGTGTTTCAATTTTATTGCACGAACAATTAGCAAGAATACCAAGTTAAGAGGCGCGGGCAGTGCTGCTCTTCCTTCTGTTCCCCCTGCTTTTCCCGTTTCTGCGTCTGTTCCGAACCCCCAGAGCACGCACTGCTAAAATAAGGCTGGAGGTAAATTGTGGCCATATTGAGGCCGAAATGAAGGGTAGTCGGTGGGTCTAGGTTGTGTTACGGGCTTTTAGGGAGTTAGGGTTTATTTCGGGAGCAGTTCTGGTCTTGCCTCTGTTTTGCATCTAGGATCGAGGGCGCCAAAAGGAAGCCACACTATTCAGGGTCTCACGTCCCAAATTTTACATCGTACAACGACCCTTTAGGCACAGGAGAGTATCAAGACCCAAGATTCCCGAACACAACAGAAACAACCCTTATATCTCATACCTAAAGCCCAAAAGTGTTTAAAATAATGGCCCTACACCCAAACATGCTATAATTCTACATGCTTTAGGGGTCCAGGTAGCCCCAAACCCTAAACCTGAGGTGGTCATTGCAACCCCAAGGGCCGCCTCTTCGTGGGTCTTTGCCGGGAGGCTGGGCTTGAGGCGCCCTTGGGAGGTGGGTGTTAGAGATTTGTGTGTTGAGTTTCAGGGTTTGGGTGTAGGGTGTTGAGTTCGAGTGGGGGTGGGGTCCTACCCTAAACCCTAAACCCTAAGCCCTAAACCCTAAACCCTTGAGTTTTTTAAATATAATGAGCTAAGAGGTGGCGAGGCTTTGAGTTTGAGGGCGTGTTGGGGCTGTTGAGGGCTTTGGCAAGTATGGGTTCCAATTTTGCTGGCCAAGGTGTTGTAAAGACGAAGATATCAGAGGCGGAGTGAAGATTCATGAGTTTGGATCCTGGGACTTGAGATCGATGCATCCTGAGCCCTACATATTCCTTGTGGTGGGTTATATATATATATATGGGTGTTGTCAAAATTATGGTCCCTTTTTGGATCCCTATTATAATACGGCACCTAGTACTGAGGGTACCCAAAAGGGACCATGATTTTGACAACCACCCATATAGGCATGCGATTAATTTGGATTTTCATATGGTGATGCATAACCCTGTGCAGTAACCCCTATACTCCCTAACAGGGACCCCTCATGTGTGGAAACTTCCCTAAGATAATTGCCCCAAATCCCAAGCCCAATCCCCAAACCCTGAGCCCTAGACCCTAAGCCCTTAACCCTATATATCCCGATGTAACCCTACATAGCCCCTATAAAACCCTATATAACCCCTATACAAACCCCCTATAAACCCCTAAAGTCTGAACACCAAACCACATGTTACCAGGCCAGGCAGCACTGGGTAAACATTGACAACAAGATCCTACGCAGCTGGCCTGTGCATTGCATAGACCGTTCAGGGGCATATATAGTCGCCCTTAAGTCGATAGAATATGTGGTATATGGGGATCTTCTTATAATATACCCAAAGCCATATTCTATCTACTTAAGGGGGGACTATAGCCCTAAACCCTGATACCCTAAACCTTATGCAGGGTTATGTAGGTTATGTAGGCAGATATGGGGATTTATGGGGTTCAGGTTTCTCCATCAATTAGGGGTCGTCCCTTTTTGGGGGGGGTCTGCGTAATACGGGTTCTAGTATGTTGAGGTCCATGTTGGGCTCTCATCCTTATGGAAAATGCTAGATTTGGTTGAGGGGCTTTGAGTTTTTAGGGTTTCAAGTCAAGGGTTAGTAATTACAAGGTTTCAGGGGCTAGGAGTTTTTAGTGTTTCTAGGATTAGGAATTACCAGGTTTCAGGGGAAGTTTAGCATGCGTCTAGCATTAAAACAATCGACCCTTCCGATATTGGAGAGTCCCATCGTGGGATATCATAGTTTTCAGGAAATTTTTAACACGAGGCGGGGTGTGGTGTTTTTTAGATGTGCAGGGTAGTATAGAATGAGTACCTCCGCTGTTTAGGGTATATTGTTCGAATGCGCGCAGGCTTTCCTTTACCCAGCTGAGGATGATCATTGTAGAAGATGATTTTTCGAGTTTTCGCATACTATCAAACCAATAATGAATAGATGAGTAAATTTCTGGAAATATCCCAGAAAGGAACATTGCAAAACGTGTAACGGCCCGCGGTTTAGGCTTGGAATCTCTTCAGCCAGGAGACCATTGAGTCGACTCCTTCAGGGGGCCACCCTACGGCCCTGAATTGAAAAAGCCTCTTTGAATTCTTGCTGGTGTTTAGTGGGGAAGAAGGGAATGTATACAATCCCTGTATAGCTTGTATTCCCGCATTCCCTACTATAACCCAGGAAGATTAGACGCGGGTAGAGACGTATCCTGAGGGTTCTGAAAACCATGGGAGCCATGCGTAATAAGATAGATACCGACATTGGAGTTATACACAACCTGCTTGTAACCTTACTTGTGGCTACCCTAAACCCTACACCCTAAACCCTAGACCTTAAACCCTAAACCCCGATTCAGACACAGTTTGGTTGATCCCCCACTCGGCATCGAAAAGACGCCATGACTTTGACGCGCTCCAAAACGCTGGTTCTGTGCCAAAATGTCACGGGGGTTTCCCAAATTAGGGGTAATTTTTGGAGGGTCCCCATAATGAGGATTATAGTTTTTTGAGGTCCACATGGGGTCTAGGTGTCCAATTGCCACATACTTCCCACATTTCCACTCACCCAAATCCATAGAATCCAATAATCTGCCACTAGGACCCTTAGGGTAAGCCCCAAACCTATCTATAGGTATAGGGATATATATATATATATCCCTGTGTATTACTCTAACCCTTTGAAAAGGACCGATATTGGAAAAACGATCACCAGCAGACGGGGTAAGCTCCAAGGGGGCCTCGGCGATGGCTTCCCACCTGTGCTAACGCATAGCTTTGCTGAGGCTGGGAGGGTTTTGGATGGCTTTTTCGGGTGATTCCTTTTAGGTTCGGCTAGTTGTAACCCAATCAGGCCCATTATATCATTGCAGTTGTACTCCGCTAAGTCTAAGTTCCAAATAATTACTAATTGGGTTATGATGACATCGAGAGGGATGATGATTCCAGATCCCTTACAGTTACTGGGACCTAGACCCTTCCCTAAACCCTAAACACTACACTCTAAACCTAGGCCAGCTGGCTGGCTCCTTCTGTTGGGATGCAGGATGTACGTGTCCGGGGTCAGGGTTGTGATGTAAGGACGTCGTAAGGGGTATATGGTTCAGGGGCCTTGGGATTTGGGGTTGAGGGTTTAGCTCAATACCTTAAACCCTAAACGTAGATTTTACGACTTTCCTGAAAACACTGGAGTGCCCACACCTGAATTCTCGACACCACGCCCCATGACCTGAATCTCTGAGCCCAAAGCACTGCGTGGATATTCCAGAGCATCAAAGGATATCCGCGGGGCCCAGGTAAGTCCGAAACTCTACAGTCCTCCGGTGGATACCAAAAATCCTGCATGGCCCGAGGTGCCTGATACCTTGCTATAGCATTTAGGGTCATGCAGGACTTTTAGTATCAACAGTCCCGCCAGCCCTCCACATAGCTCCAAGATCCAGAATCCGAAGCCCAATTTTCAAGCTCGAAGTCTCAACAGCAAGCATGAAACATAGAAGTGCCCCTTACACAGCCTTCGCTGGTTACAAGGTTTTGGTGGATGGCGCCTGGCGGAAGGCCCGCACCGCTCTGGCGATACTGCTGGTTAAGGAGGTTTTTGCACCCTAAGTCCGTAGATCCTGGGGTAGGATGGTTTAGATACCAAAGCGGTGCAAGATTGCCTCCATCAACAGTATGGGGGGGGATACTCGCAGTTGGGGAGGTCTATTTTCGGGGTCACAAGATAAGAGGTGTGGAGGGCAAAGTAAAACTCAACTTTGATTTGAACGCAGTGGTGTGTTAAGCTGTCGCCATTTTTTGAGATCAAGATTAGTGTATAAACGGCGGCGCATGTGTGGAAGCGACATGCGTGTTCCTGCAGAACTACAGTCAGGTGGGGAAAGCCCAAGTTGCAAACAGGTAATATCCCGTAGTCTCCTATAAATGCCCCCACAAAGAACTCTAGCATATTGTAATGTGCCAACCTAGTCCAGACAATTCTGTTTATTTTCGGGTAAGCATCCAAGTCAACTTGGATGCAGTAAACGGCTCGTACTGCGGCTTGTTCAAGATCTGGGTAGGCCCCTGGGATATTTACTATATAAGGGACCCTTTATACTAATATTTTTCAGAAGGTTTCAGGGGCCAACCCAGAGATGTTGAGTTCAGAATCACAGGGAGGTTCGGCTACCAGTGCGTCACCCCTGAGTCTATGGTGCACAGAGCTGTTCGTTTTCACTTCGCCTGAAGTAAGCCCGAAGCTGTGATTAGGCCATAAACCCCAAACCCTAAACCCTAGACAGTTGTACTTGGCAGGTTTTCCTGCAGCAAGTGTGTCGAAGACCTGTAATGCCTCCAAAAACTAAACCCTAAACCCGCCTCAACTTTGACCTACGCCTGTGCTGGCCAACAAGGAGCTGTAGCTACAAGCCCTGAAGCCTTCAGCCTTAACCGGTTTAGGGTTTCGGTTTCAGGGTTTTGGGTTTGAGGTCTGGGTTTACAGTCTCTGTAACCTACCCCCTAATTTTGCAGGTATAAGCCATCAAACTGTATGTAGCTGGGGTCACAAGCCATAAGCGCCTACACACCTAAACCCCTAAACCCTCAAGCATCCAAACCTTGAACTCTAAGTTCCAAACCCTGCGGGTTGCGAGTGCTTGTGACCTTCATGTGATGCGGTTTAGGA